CTGAGCCTATAGTGAGTGTTCCACCAGATCGAGTTGCAATTTCTCAATCTAGTGATAACTTGAAGCAACCATCGGTCAAAAAGGGGTATCTTATGAGTAGTAATGAAGAACCACTAGTTCACGCCAAGGAGGATCCTCCCGATAAGGTAAATTGGCGTCCTACAGGGCATGTCAGGAAGCCGCGCTGTGGTCTAAACACTGCTTGACCAGGTGAGAAACCACCCGATCAAGCGGTAGGCCAAGGGTCCAAACTTTAATCTTGTTATAAGAGGGTCGTGCGGGACCTAGATAAACCAGCGCTTTGCGAGAGGCAACCCGTATATTTCTTGTAAGGGGAGAGAGGAGGGAGTTTAATGAGTTTATTAAGTTTTTGTACAGGTTTGAAGTAAAAAGAGTTAGTCAAATTTGGAAAAAAGATAAGGACTCTCTCATACCAAGTATTGTCTTGGGCCTGACCGGGCGAAGCACCACCCGATCGGGCGCAAGAGTAAAGGTTCAAAATAAGAAATTTTTGCCCCACCACGCGCGAGAGTAAAGGTTCAAAATAAGCAATTTTTTCCCGACCAGGCGCAAGATTTGACAAAGTATAGTACTTTTGATTGCCCGATCGAGCAAAGGGCGCCCGACCAGACAAAGAGTCGAAGAAAATCGAGCGTATTTGTCGCCCGATCGGGCGAGTGGCCTCCCAACCGAGCACGAGAGCTGTTCAATTTTAGTGTTTAGATCGCCCGATCGAGTGAGTGAGCGCCCGACCTGGCCCGAGCTTCTCCGCCCCGACTTTTCTTCTTCCTCCTTCTTTCTTTGCTCATTTCCTTTTCTTTCCACCATTCTTTCTCTATCTAAAACCTTAAACTCTCTAACTTTTCTCTAAGATCCCCTCTCCAATTCCCATCCAAATCCAATAATTCTTAAATATTTCTAACCCTCTTTTCATCCTCTACATTTCTATACCAAAATTTCCCAAATTCTAATAAAAAAAAATCATACCGATTTTTCAAACATGGCATCAAAGAGGTCAAGGACGATTCTTGGGAGGATTTCTAGTTCAAGTAAACAATATGATCCGGAATTGCAACTTCCGCAATGGCCAACCATCTGAATTGCAACCCGGGAGCAAAAAGAACGGCTTGAGCAACTCTACGAGCGAGAGGTAATCCCTTCACGGTGGTTACACCACCCTACTCTTCAATCTTATAGTTTATATGATTATGTTAAACGTTTCTTGAAGGATATAGAAATGAGGAAATTTGTTGATATGCACTATCCTACTTATCGTGAATTAACGTGTGAATTTCTTTCCTCTTTATCTGTTGTGAACAGTAAAAATGGGCCGAAATTAATGTTTAGGTTAAATAATAGGAATATTATTTTAACATTTGTTGATTTTTGTAAAATTTTTGATTTGAATTTTGAATTACCTATCCAATGGCATGAACAATACAAAATGGAAGATATCTATCATGTTTTGAATGGTTTACCGGCGCCTAACACCCAACATGCTAGTGCCAAACCTATCCATCACCCCGAATCTAAAATCTGGCAAAGATTTGCAGGTGTTTGTTTTCTAGGTAGGAACGAGCCGCATAACGCCAAAACTAATGAACTAGCTGTAATTGGACATTATTTGTTTGGGTACGGTAAACTAAACATTGCTAGATACATCTTCTTTCATCTTAGTAGACATGCCTCGGCTAGTAACCATGCTACTACCCTGATTCGTTAAGAAGGTCGGGTTTGTTGAGAGTGGACCTCACGGTCTCACTAACTTAGGATTGGACACCTACATCCTAGGACCTTGAAGATTTGGGTTGGGTACGTTTGGATATCCAGCGAGTCCCCCACTAGTTCATTAGGACAGGAACAAAGCAGCCATTGCCTATCTTTTCCCTGCCTAGTCCCGAGTTAACCGCTTTTCCCCCTAGGCAAGAGTCCTACACATATGACCTTTTAGTTGCCCACACCTAGGGGAAAGCACCACCAGTTCCACCACCACCCCACCCTGAGCCCGAGGTACGTAGTACTTTCACCACCTCGCATGTCTCATATAGCCCCACCTCCTCATAGCGACTCTGAGACAGTTTGGTACTTTCAGAGTATAGATTAGGCCTTAAGACGTATAGAGTATTCACAGGGTGAACTTAGGAGGATGGTAGGCTCCCTTGACCAGCGATAAGGGTACCTTGAGAGGAACCAGGGTAGAGCCTTGTATCCTATGTATGATGATTATGCTCGTCGGGGTAATATTCCTGACGATGTTATTTACCCTGATTGGTTTTAGCTCCCACCCCAGGGATACGTTAGGGATCCCACCGTCCGTGGTATTTATACTGACTATTCATCATTCCACGGGTACGGCCAAGACATACCTTTTGGGGGACCGGCTGGGGGGTTTTCAGCCTAACTATTTTGGTGGTAGCTCTTCTGGTGCAGGTGGTGTAGGTGGAAGTGGTGGAGGATTCGGCTCCATGGATGAGGATGATGAGGATTAGCCATTTTAGGCTAATTCCTAAGCCAATGAGGACATTGTCTGATTCTGGCTTTAGAGAGATTTTTGGATTTGGCATCCTTCTTTTCCCTTTTATTTTATTTTTGGTGTGTTTTCTTAGATTAGATTTATTGCTTCCTAGTATAGTTTTATTGTTTTCGTATATGAAAAAAAAAACAAAAAAAATTTAAAAAAAATCAAAAATCCAAATAAACGTTCCAATGAATTGTAAATCATGCTTCCCTGTGACCCATAATTAAAAAAATATTGTTTTAATTCTTGGTACATGATGATGAGAATTGTGGATTTGTTGATCATGATTTGAAGTTTGATTGCTTGGATGTCCTAACATGCGTCAATTTTGTCCAACTACTTGTGAATATAGTTCTTGACTAGTTGATTTGGTTAGGAATGTGTGTTAGTCCCTGGTATGTCAATGAATTTAAGTATTGGTTTGCAACTGGTAGTAGTGTTTCATGTCTCATTATTTTGCACATTGTGGAGGACGAAGGCATTTGTTCTTTTAGGTGGCATTCAGATGATTTTAGATAAATTTGTTCCCTTCTTGCTACCCATGTTGATGCCTTGACTTTTTGTTGTTTAATAACCACATTACAAGCCTAGCTATTTCGCCCCATTGGTTACTAGTCCCAAGCTTGGCATGGGGGAGCTATTAGTGAGTGAGGTGGGGGAGTTTATAGTTGTAGACACCCATTTGTGTCTCCCCAAAACCAAACCCACTGATGAGTACCTTTCACGTCGAATCATAATCGAATGAAGTGAAAGTGTGGAAAGTCTAGTGTTGCGGTTAGTTTTTTAATTCTTTTCTTTCTCTCTGTTTTTGAAAACCTATTTTATGAAAATAGCCAATCCATTTTAGTTTGGTCCATGGAAAAGGGTCCAATAATAGTGTATTTGGTTCGGGTTCGAAAAGAAGCTTTCAACGATATATTATAAGCCCAATTCCGATGAATGATGAGGAAGTTATGGCCAAATTACTAAACTGGTCCTGGTTTGATCTTTATATGCGGCCCCATGATCTAGAGGAGGGCCTATTATTGATTTATCATTCCTAATGCAATTAGGATTGATTATAGTCTTCTAGATTCTTCTAGAAGGTTCTTTTGAATCCTAATTTAATTAGCATTGATAAATTGACTTTTAAGAGTTTTAATTAGAATAAAAGAAGTGTTTTTAAGGAAATTACAGTTTTACCCCCTCGTACACTTAAATTTTATCGAAATAAGAAAACGCGTGGAAAAACTGATTGCAGCGCCGCAACTGCAGTTTGGCATCTGGCGACAGGCGCGTGCTTAGTGACAGCATCGTGTTTTATTCTTTTTGAAACTCTGATTCTTTTTTTATCATATCTGGACTGTTTTCTCTACAAATAGCCTCCTAAAACCTCCGCTTTAAATCATCAATTCTTCTCATCAATTCCCATCTAATCATCACTAACTCTCATCAAGAAAATCTTGATATCCTCTCTCTCTTTTCTAAACTAGCCTTCTCTCATACAAAATTCCGCATTCACAAGATCTAGACACACATAGCCAAGTTCAAAGTTTCCTTTATCCTAGACGTGAAAGGTTTGATTTCTGAGGGTTTGGTCCCAAATCTAGTCTAATCTTTCTTAATCTCTATTTCCTGTTACCGGTGAAGTTACTCACAACCTGAAGATGTTACCTGATCATTACAGGATTAGTGTGGACAACCCTTATCCCGACTATACCCTCCTCGATATATCGGTACCGTCTCCCGATGGTGTGACTAAGTTGGGAAAAGCCAAGTCTTCATTTGTACTATGGCCTATAGACATGTTTTTTTTAAGAAGAGGTATATTCTCCTACTATTAACATTAAATCCCATCATTTTTGTATACTTTATCTAGATTAATATTCACCTATTTGTAAAGGTTTCACCATCGCCCAAAAAGAAGCATAGATCTCGCCAAAGCAAAGAAGGGGACGATAGTTGTGGTGTGAAATCAAGGCAATCTACCATCAAACCCACAAAATTCCTACCACTTGAAGATAAAATTGTCGATACTTTTGGCGAGGGGTGTAAGTTGTTGTATTGGTTAATGAATTCTGATGATGCAAAGTATGATACAACATCGGTACTTTTAAAGGCCTCAATGTTTAATTTTGATAGCGACAAACAGATTTGGGTAACCGCTACCGATGTACGTGAATTTCTAAGAGGATCGTGGGCTAATGTTTCATTAATCTTCCTTTACTTTGGTTCTTATATTCACTATAGTAATATTTTTAATGCTATAATGCTGAATTTTTTGTTTTCTATGTCTTTATCATGTAGGTATTTAGTAGACAACTTCATCAACCTTTTTAACAGGACAGAGATCACATTCTTTTGTCCTCAACTCATTTCTGAATCATCAATTGAGAATGATTACCTTGAAACTTATACATATGTGAAGAATACATTTTTTCATGAAGTAAGAAAGACGGGTAAACGTTGCAAATTCATCGTGGTTCCATATGTCGCAAGGATCGAAATATGTTTTTTATATTGCCACTAAACTTAATCATATAAATGATATGTTTTTCACCAATTTTCCAATACTCTAACTTGTGTTTTCCTCTTAAATGATGTAGTGGTCATTGGGTTCTTGTGGTGGTCGATCTACAATTAGGTTTAGCTTATGAGTTTGACTCTATGAAGCTACCTAAAGAAAATCCACGAAAATTGAAAATTGTCGAGATTATGATGACGTGAGCCACAACCTTGAAATTATGCCCTAGTTTCTATATCATTTTTGTATGTAATGTTGTAGATTATTTTGTTCTAAGTGTTAGAATATAAATTATTTTTGTAGGGCTTATAAAGTATATCGGGCGAATCTCACAGGGAGTGAATTGAAATCACAAAGGCAAAAATTGAAATTCATACAAATGGAGGTAAATACACTACTCACCCCATATTGTTATACATTGTTCACTTTGAAAACAAAATTTTTAACTACTTATTATATATACTAGTGTGCTCAACAACAAGGAGGAGTTGAATGTGGATACTACATTATGAGATACATGTATGAGATTGTTACTTCTCACTTGGAAGAGGTTAGTAGTTTTTTTTGCAAATTTTGAAGCCTTTTTAGCTCTATATGCTCCCAAGAGTAAGATAATGGTCAATTGTTATTGATTTCAATTCATAAAAACCAAAATATAAGGTAATTAAGGATGTTTAGTGTTGTAGACACCCATTTGTGTCTCCCCAAAACCAAACCCAGTGATGAGTACCTTTCACGTTGAATCATAATCGAATGAAGCGAAAGTGTGGAAAGTCTAGTGTTGCGGATATTTTTAATTTCTTTTCTCTTCTCTCTGTTTTTGAAAACTTATTTTAAGAAAACAGCCAATCCAGTTTGGTTGGTCAATGATATGGGTCCAATAGTAGTGTAGTTGGATAGGTCTTAACAAGAGCTTTACAACGATATATTATAAGCCCAATTCCGATGAATATTGAGGAAGTTATGGCCAATTTACTAAACTGGATCCGGTTTGAGCCTTATGTACGGCCCAATGATCTAGGGGAGGGCCTAATATGATTTATCATTCCTAATGTAATTAGGAATGGTTTTAGTCTTCTAGGATTTTCTAGAAGGTTCTTTTCGTTCCTAATTCAATTATCATTGATAAATTGACTTTTGTTGACTTTTAAGAGTTTTAATTAAAATCAAATAGCTTTTTTGAGGAAAATATACGATTTTATCCTCCAGTACGGCAAACTTATCTGATTTTCGAAAACGCGTTAAAAACAGGCTTGGCGCCTGACTCCAGGCATTGGCGCCTGGAACCAGGCCTGGCGCCTGGCGCCAGCTCTGTTTCAGTTGCGCCAGGACTATGTTCTGTAAATTTATCTTTTTGGCTGATTTTCTCTATAAATAACGTATTAAAAACTCCGTTTTCAATCATCAACAACCAATTCCCATCAACAATCAGTTTTCAATTCTCATTCTCTTCTAATTCATTCATTCACCATCTTTCTTTTCTAAACTTGCTTTTACATACAAAATTCCGCATTCATTAGATCTAGAAACACCTAGCCATATTCGAAGTTGCCGTCGCCCTGGACGTAAAGGTTTAATTTCTGAGGGTTTGGTCCCAAATCTCTCTTTCAATTATTTAATTTAGTTGTTTTGATTATTATTTTCTTTAAAGTTACTAACGCGTGTATTTTGTTATTAGAAAGAGGTACGAGGCATCAAAGTAAGTACTTTAATGGTTTTTATTGATGTTATAATGCAGAAATCTTGTTTATGTTGTTATTATGATATCCCTAGTATCATGTCTAGGGTAATTTTAATATTAAATATGATTGTTACGATGCTTCCTATGTTCTTCCTAATATTTATTCATGTTAGTATCCTGTTAGGGCTAAAGCTTTGATTTTTATTGTTTAGTGACATGCTAGGGTTTGTTATTAATCTTGTTAGTATCATGCCTAGGATCTTGCTATTATCATGCTTTAACATGATTATTTTAATTATTGTTTGGGTCCAATTTACCTAATTGAATTGGGCCTAGTCATTCATTTGGGTCCAATTATCTCATTGGGCCTAGTCATTAAATGATCCAATTAAAAGCCCAAGGTCAAGGTTCAACTCCCATTTGTGCTAAAGTCAAGATCAGTCCACAAGACAAGTCAATTGGGCCAAGGCCCACTTCCTCCTTGTATGCAAAGGTATATAAGCCTTCAATTTATTCATTATGGGATATTCACAAAAGCCTCAAGCAATTAATTCTCTTACATAGCTTTCTCTCTCTACACATTGTGCTGACTTTAGCATCGGAGGGGCCTTCCTCGGCAACACCCCCGAGGCTAGTTTACGTGTGTTTGCTGTGCAGGAAACCTTCGGCCCAACATCACTTGGACTGAATCCAGTCTTCACCACTTCATCGGACCTTCGGCAAGGTCCCATTGTTTTCATCCGAAACAATTATGATTATAATTATTATTATGATTATAATTGATTGATTTTTTATTATGTTGCTCGATACATTATATTTTATTTATTGCTTGATCACACTTTTTATGCATGTATAAAGGGAATTGGCACTTGTAATCACGCTAATATAAGATAATTAATAATCTTGTTTAGGTTAATATGATTATAATTCCAAGTGATCGCCAATAATAGTTTGTTTGTGCATTAATATTCAACCAACATAGATAAACAGGTTTAGGGTTAAACCTATTGATTACATGTTAGTCAGAAAGAGCACATGAATACGATCAGAATAAAGTAGAGGCCTATTATTAGGGCAGGTTCAATCTCTTTTAGGTTGGATTTGTACCTTCATCCCCGAACCCTTATTTGGTTCTAGACCTTATGGAGTTGACGATCTCTTGGATCGTTAAGGGGTGTAACCTTCACCTCGTGAACGGTTTACAAGTTCCTAAAACTTGTTGGCGACTCTTTTGCTCTATCTTCTTCCCTTTTGGACGCCACCGTACTTTAGTGTATGATCACAGTGGGGTTCAAGTTAAGGGGTTAACGCTTGAAATTTATTCCCCACAAGTGTTATATTGTGTTAATTTGAACAAATACTTGAAAGATGGGAAAGGTAGAAGTCCCTTAGGCAATTTTGAAGCGTTTTTGGCTCTATACGCTCCCAAGAGTGAGATAATGGTCAGTTTTCATTGATTTCAATTCATAGAAACCAAAATATAAGGTAATTAAGGATGTTTAGTGTTATATTGTGTTAATTTGAACCAATACATGAAAGATGAGAAAGGTAGAAGTCCCTTAGGAAATTTTAAAGCCTTTTTGGCTCTATACGCTCCTAAAAGTGAGTAAATGGTCAATTTTCATTGATTTCAATTCATAGAAACCAAAATATAAGGTAATTAAGGATGATATGTGTTATATTGTGTTAATTTGAACAAATACTTGAAAGATGGGAAAGGTAGAAGTCCCTTAGACAATTTTGAAGCGTTTTTGGCTCTATACGCTCCCAAGAGTGAGATAGTGGTCAATTTTCATTGATTTCAATTCATAAAAACCAAAATATAAGGTAATTAAGGATGTTATGTATTTTATTGTGTTAATTTGAACAAATACTTGAAAGATAGGAAAGGTAGAAGTCCTTTAGACAATTTTGAAGCGTTTTTGGCTCTATACGCTCCCAAGAGTGAGATAATGGTTAATTTTCATTGATTTCAATTCATAAAAACCAAAATATAAGGTAATTAAGGATGGTTAGTATTATATTGTGTTAATTTGAACCAATACATGAAAGATGGGAAAGGTAGAAGTCTCTTAGGCAATTTTGAAGCCTTTTTGGCTCTATACGCTCCTAGAAGTGAGTAAATGGTCACTTTTCATTGATTTGAATTCATAAAAACCAAAATATAAGGTAATTAAGGATGTTTAGTATTATATTGTGTTAATTTGAACAATACTTGAAAGATGGGAAAGGTAGAAGTACCTTAGGCAATTTTGAAGCGTTTTTGGCTCTATACGCTCCCAAGAGTGAGATAGTGGTCAATTTTCATTGATTTCAATTCATAGAAACCAAAAAATAAGGTAATTAAGGATGTTATGTATTACATTTTGTTAATTTGAACCAATACTTGAAACATGGGAAAGATAGAAGTCCTTTAGCACAGTTTTGAAGCCTTTTTGGCTCTATACGCTCCCAAAAGTGAGTAAATGTTAACTTTTTATTGATTTCAACTCATAGAAATCAAAATATAAGTCAATTAAGGATGTTATGTGTTTTTTTTTCTATATTATGAGTTTTATTTCTATAATTTGGTTCATCACATTTATCATAATGATTGTTTTTATTATGGATTGTTTTTATTTTGTAACCTCTTTCATATGTTTTTTTTTCAATAGGATTTTTGTCCAAGGACCGCCCCGTATGATGTTGACGAGTTGAATGTGGTTCGAGAACAATGGGCGCACTACTTTAGAAGTAAATATTTATTGAATGCATAACTATTAGCTTAGGTAGAACAACGTAATATTTTTAGTGTTGTTGTATATGTGATAAATTTATACAAGTTTTTATTTGTAATGTGTTACTACTTCAGTTTTATATTACGTCATATTAATTTTTACGAAAGATTGTTCGGTATAATTTCTTACAGGAACAAGTATATTATAACAGGTTTTAATTAATATATATTAATTATATATAAATACATGCTGTCGAAAATAAATAAAATGAAAATTTAATTTAATAATTATTTGTAACGGGCAGCAGAATTGTCAGTTACAAATAACTAGTTATTCGTAACGGGCATTTTTGTTGCTCGTTACAAATAAGTGTTAAATTATATACAATAAAACTTTATTTGTAACGGACATTTAAGATGTCAGTTACGAATAATCACTTATTCGTAACGGGCGGTTTAGGTGCCCGTTACAAATAAGGACTTATTTTAATACAAAAAGGGATTTATTCGTAACTAACATTTCATATGTCCGTTACGAATAATCCCTTATTCATAACTAACATTTAAAATGTCCGTTACGAATAATGGGTTATTCGTAACGGACATCTGAAATGTCAGTTACGAATAATGAGTTATTCGTAACGGACATATGAAATGTCCGTTACGAATAACTCATTATTCGTAACGGACAGTGCCTGTTACGAATAACAATAGCCATCCGTAACGGCCGCAAACGTACCGGACGCTGCCCGTTATGGATGGCTCCTTTTTGCCCGTTACGGATGACGTTTTTTCCACTAGTGTTAATTGTTTGTTTTATTATTTTCCTTGAAGTTACTAACGTGTGTATTTTGTTATTAGAAAGAGGTACGAGGCATCCAAGTAAGTGTTTTAATTGTTTTCATTGTTATTATGATATAGAAATCGTGTCTAGGTTGTTATTTTGATTCCTAATATCATGTTAGGATGTTTTCCTTAATTTGATGTTTTGAATGACAACAATAAGTTCCTAGTATCATGTTTAGGGTAAATAATATGATGCTTAGTATGATTTCTATGATGTCTTTTATTCTCTTTCCTAATATCCATGTTAGTATCATGTTAGGGCTATATATTTGATCTTTGATGTTTAGTGACATGCTAGGGTTTGTTATTAATCTTGTTAGTATCATGCCTAGGATCTTGCTATTATTATGCTTTAACATGATTATGATTTTTATTATAATTATTATTATTGTTATTGTTAATATTATGTTGCTTGATTATATTTATTGTTATTGCTTGATCACACCTTTTTATGTATGTTTAAAGGGAATTTGTACTTGTAATCACGCTTAATAAGATAATTAATAATCTTGTTTAAGGCTAATATGATTATGTAATCCCCTGTATTTTTAAATATGTTATAAATTAAATTTAATTTTATTTATAATATTGTTTTGTATTTTTCCGTAATTTAATTTCAAAATATTTGAATTATTAATTAGGGTCAAAAATTATTTTGGTACAAATTATTTTATGACCCTTCATTCTATAATTTATTTCAATACAACCAAACCTTAGTCCATTTCATTCATTTGGCCCATTAATTTTATGAGGCTCAATCTTTCTATTTACCCTACAACGTTCTCTCCTATAAATACTCCATGAATCCCTAAAAATTTCCCACACAAAAAGGTTAGTCTTATTTTCTTTCTCCTTTGTTTTATTAATTTGTGTAATTATAATTATTGATTTATGGGTTTTAATTTTATTGTTTGAAAGTAATTTAATTATTAAAAACACAAATTTACGTGTTTAATCTCGTAAATATAGTAGTGAGCACCACCCTCTCATGGCCAAATTCGTATTTATAGATTTCCGTTCGTTAATATTAATCTCGTTTTAATCCCGATCAGATTCTGAACTCACCCGATTTTGATGAAAAAGTAGTGTTTCCATGTGGAAACAACGTTTTAAGAATTAACGAAGCTTTTTTATACTTAAAATATTATCCTCTCGTGGCCAAATTCAGCCTCTAAATATGATTTTCGGGCAGTTTTTGATTTTAACGAAGTTTTTTTTTTGAAATAATTAACGAAGTTTTTTTATACTTAAAATATTATCCTTGAGTTTGATTAATAAAATTAATTATGTTTAAAGTTAATTCAGCATAAATATATGTTTTATTGAAGTTTTAAGTGCTGGAAATAGTTTCTAATAGGAAAATTTGCCCAAAATAACACGAACTTTGGCCGGTTCGCCAATAATAACACCACCTTTGAGTTATCCCAAAATAACACCAACTTTGGGGGGTGTCTGCCAAAAATGGTACAAAAAAAATGGTAACCGGATTTAGGAGGTAATATTGCTGACGTGTGTTATGTTTTTGCCAGGTTGTGCGTTGCTTCCCCTTAACTATCCAACGTTCTTTCTTCTTCTTTATAACCGTTAGAAAAAAATGCCAAGCCCTTTATTCTTCCTTCTTCTTCATTCTCTGTTGTTCCTCTCTCAGTAGTCGTTGCTCCATCTTCTTCCTCTGTTTCTTTGTTTTCCTCTCTCTTAATTTGTTGCTCCTTCTTCATCTTCAAGTTCTTTGTTTTCCTCTGCTCTTCATCTCTCTTTAATCGTTCGTGTTGTATCAATTTTAGTGCTCTTAAAAAATTAATCAATGGCTACAAGAAGGTCAATTTCGAACCAATCATGTTCATCCTCTAGCATAAAAAGGATGGGTAATTCGAAAATTCGTTGCAATTGTGGGAATGAAGCTTTGATTAAAACTGTGAGAAAAGGCCCTAATTTGGGGATGAAGTTCTACGGCTGCCCTATGTGGCCAGTAAGTTGTGATTGATTGCCCTATGTTTATTGCATCTTTTTTTGTTTATTGTAATTTAGGGATATGTAATTGTAATTACCCTAATTTGGTGTTGTTTATTGTTCATATTTACTGGATGCAAGACACTTAATGTGATTTTTTCAAGTGGGTGAATGAGCAGGCTGAGATGGAAGATTATGAAGTGAAGTTGTTGGAAAAGGAAACCATAATTGGTGAGTTACAGGTTGAACAAAAAATCGCACATGAGAAAATAAAGAAATTGCAATTAAAGAAAGGAAAATTGGAGGAAGACATCATAGGGTTGAAGAATGAAATAGTTGCAATGAAGATTGAGTTAATGAAGTGTGGTAGGAATGAAAAAACGTTGTACTTAGCATTGTTGTTTTCTTGGTTGTTGTTTGGTGTTGTAATCTTCCTTTATTGATTAAGGAAGAAATGAGGATGTATGTTGAATGTTTTATGTGGAAATAAAAAGCAATCTGTGTAATTGATTAATGGATGCTTAATTGAATGTTTAATGAGTAATGTTTGCTGTTGTATTTTGTACTTAATTGATTTTCATCATAATTGCAATAGCAGTGTACAATTGACATACCAGAGCTAGATCAAAAGACCACAAATTTCCCAAATTATTTGCATAAAATGAAAAACAAACAAAACCAGAGCAATATCAAAAGACCACAAATTATTTGCACAAATTGAAAAACACAACCACAGCAATATCAAAAGACAAAGGCAGAACTGTTATAATGCCTGCAAATGTTTCAATAATGCATGCAACTGTTTCCAAAATACCTGCAACTGTTTCCAATACTTAATTACATAAGATCTCTAACATTGTTTAACAACTAAATTGTTTGACAAATTACACACTTAGACCAAAAGCATACTTAGTAAGTACAAAAGAAATGGGGCACATAAGATCTTCACTTGATCACTGCTGCATCTGGGAGATAGATCTTGTGTTAGGTCTGGTACTTGGTGCCTGCCACACAAATTACAAAGTTATTGGCTTATTTTCCAAAAAAAAAAAAAGCAAACACAAAAATGAAAGGGGGAGTACTAATTCTTACTGTAACAATTGGGCTTCCATCATCAGCAAACATTATCCCAATTCCTGATGGTTGTGCTCTTCCCCTTCCCCTTCCTCTTCCCCTACTTGTAGTTGTAGACCCTCTACCAACCGAGCTTCTTCCTCTGGTGCTGCTTTGACTGACACTTCTAGCACCTTGACCTCCAAGTATCATTCTTCCACCCCTGCCTAGTTGAGTTGGCTGTGCAATAGCAGTATGGTGGGCAGATTGTGTTGCAGGAGTTGAAGATGATGCAGTTTGTGTCAGGGTGGGTGTTGGGGTTGCTTGTGTAGATGGGGCATGTGAGGTTACATCAGTAGATGGGGCAGTCTTTCTTGGTCTTCCCTTGGGTCTTTTGGGTGTTGGTTCATCAGGGACAACAAAATCCTTGTCTTTGCAGCCTCTCTTGTTATGACCCTTCTTCTTGCATATGCTACAAGTCATTTCTACTCCTGCCCTACTCAATGACCCTGGCTTCTTAGGATTCTCAAGAGGGTGCTTAATTCTGTTCTTTCTTGGCCTACCAGGACCTATCTTGATAAGAGGGGGGTCCAAATTGCATGGACATCTTGGCCAATACCTCTCACCTTCACATGGAGGTATACAACCACTTTAGGCCTTCTTATAAGTCTCAACTTTGTAACATTCATCAACAAATACCTCAGGTTCTTGGTTCACAAAATAAATGCAAGCTATGGCATGACAGCAAGGAATGCCTACCATATTCCATTTTCTACAACTACAAGTTCAAGCAACTAAATCTACATTCAACTGATCCAAATAATACCTAACATTAAACTGACTCACAGAAGAAGACAAGACTTCACAATCAGCAGCTTTCTCTTTCTCCTTTTCTAACCTAGCTTGTATCCTAGGGCATAGCAAAGAGGTCCATTTTTCCATTTCATGTCTTTTTTTGACTAACCTCTGCATCAATGCAACTCTAATTTCCTCTAACATGTAAATTATGTGTTTAGTCCTAGCATTAATGATATCAGCATTAAATGTTTCAGCCATATTGTTAGTAATGGCCTCAGATTTGATGCCTTCCTGTAAGAATGCCCTACAGAAGAACTGAGGATTATACCTTGTTATTGCAAGGGTAGCCTCTTCATCAATCTGTCTCAACTCATCCATTGCTTCATTGAAATCAGCCTGGTTATAGGCCTTTGCTATCTTCCAAAACAAAAGCTTCATCTCATCTGCCTTGTAGGTTCTGTGCCAGAGGGAAAAAATATGCCTTGCACAGTGCCTATGTTCAGCCTTAGGAAGAACAACACTTACAGCATGTAAGATAGCCTGTGTACCAAAAAAAAAGAACCAGTTAATGTCAATCATCATCAATCATCATCATTAAATGAGATAACATATTACACAAATTAATGACTTATACCTGATGCTCATCTGAAATAATAGCTATCCCTTCTCCTTGTCCAAGATCTAGGCAATTCTTTAAGTGGTTAAAGAACCATTCCCAAGACAGATTGTTCTCCCCTTCCACAACAGCCCAACAAATGGGGAACATCTGTTCATTGGGATCCCTGGAAACGGCAGTCAATATCTGACCCCCAAGAAATGTCTTCAAAAATGCAGCATCCACACATATCACTCTCCTACACCCTGCTGTCCACCCTTGCTTAACTCCATCAAAGCAAGTGAACATCCTACTAAACATTGGGGTAGAACTCCGAGGTTGTGGAGCAACTACCAACTCCAACACTATTTCAGGACTTGCTTCCTTCAATGCCTTCAAGTACCTCTCCACCTTCATATAATGCTCTTTCATAGAGCCATGTAACATCTTGTGTGCATGGTATTTTACTTTGTAAGCAAAATCTCTACTGACAATCATTCTGTAAGACCTCCTTACAGTGTCTACAATCTCCTTAGCTGGCCAATGTGGCCTAGCTTTGAACACATCAAGCAACTGCCTAGCCACCCAACTGGACTTCAACTGCCTATTACTATTCATGTTCCTATGGCATGTGTGATTTCCAACTACTCTCTTCACTAGCCAAGTTGCATCTCTAGAATGCACAGAAAAATATAAATAAAATGGACATTCACCAACACATTTCACTCCCAACCTTTGTCTGTTTTTCCAACTCACACTATACTTTAGATCTCTACCCTGTAATACAACATACTTAGTGACAGCATCCTTAATGTCACTGGCATTAGCAAACCTCTGACCAACCTTCCAATGAAACTTACTGAAATCAGTTTCATGGCTCACTAACTCTCCCTTTTTCCCTTCTAATTCATCACTACTACCAGGTGGTGTATCAATGTCATTATCTTCATCACAGTCACTTAGGTTTACATCCCTTGCAACCTCTTCATGAACTGAGTTCTCCCTCTCTTCATCAACTTCAAACTCCCTCTCCTCATCAACTGCCTTTTCCTTCTCCTTCTCCTTACAAACTTTTTCTTGCAATCCCTTCATTATCTCAAGTAACTTTGTATTAACCCTCTTTACTCTATCCCTTGCTTCAATAATCTCATCATCACTGTCATCAGATTCATCTTCAAAGAAATCAGTCTGTTCTAGATCTTCACCTTCACCTTCTAGATCTATGTCAGATAGACTAAAATCACCTTCCTTCTCTTTCTCTATGCTCTCATCTACCTCAAACTGAAAATCATCTTCATCATCATCTTCAAACTCCCCACCCTCACAAAACTTCTGATACTCATGATCATATAATGGATCACTCTCATCACTAGACTCATCATCAACAACTAATTCATTCCATTTCAAAGGGCTCTCTGGTCTGTCATCCTCCCACTCAAATTCCTCATTGAAATCTGTGTTAACCTCAGGCAACTCACCAGTAGAAACAAACTCTAAGGATGGGAATTGAGAAAGATGAAGAGACTGGTTTTGAGTGAAGGGTTGAGTTTCTGAAGTGATTTTCAAGGGGGGTTGAGTCTGTTCTTTTTGAGTTGCTGGTTGGTGGGGAATAAATGAGGTTGTTGGGTCAGTTTTTTTTTTGTTTTTTTGTGGGGAAGGTCAGATGCTTTTTCTGGTAAAGTTATAGATGCTTTTTTGGGTGATGTGGTAGATGCTTTTATAGGTGAAGTGGAAGCATCTTCTTCAGTCAATGAGGGTTTCACCACCTGTGTTTGTGGTCCCTTCCTTGGGGTCAATTTTTTTCTTTTGTTCAGTTTGGGTGGGGGTTTCTCAAGTACCTTGCCTGTTGTTTTGGATATGGTAACTTTGGGGTCAGCATTCAACAAAGTACTTTTCTGACTTGTGTTGCCCACATCAACTTCCACAACTTCAGCATTTGAACCTTCTCCCACTTTTCTCTCAAACTGAACTGCATACACAACAATACTCCTATTTACAACAGCTAACTTACCCATCTCTAACACCTCAGCATCCCCTTGAATTTTTCTCAAACCTTTCTCAATATTTAACCCAGGCATTTGGTAAAACAAAGCATCCACATGAGCAAGCCCATACTTACTACCATAATCCCTTAAGTCCTAGTAACAAAGTTCATCTGGGTCAACATCAAAGTTACTACAACTCCCACCCTTATACACCATTTCACCATTACGAACATGCTTAAATTGACCCCCATACCAGAATCGAACAGTCACATTATCAAAAACATGAGTATTTGCAGCAGACCCTAGAATTAAACAACTCAATTAGACTCCAAACAAACACTCAAGTAATTAACCCTAATTCAACAATTAACAAGAAAATTTATCGAGTGAACAACATAATTCACCATACAAATCAACCTAATTATTAAACCTACTTTAACAATTAACAACATAATTAAACATACGAACATCCATATTCAAATTAGAACACATAAAATCCAGCCAACAATCATAATTCAAACAAAACAAAGAAAGTAAAAAAACACGAACCTTTCTTCTTCGTCTTTCTGGGCATTTTGGGAACCAAAGATCACAACTTTTTCACTCTTCTCTTCACTTCACTTCAATGCAATTTTCTTTGGGAGCAGTAGAATTTCGGAATTGAGTTCTGATTATTTCAAAGGGAAATGACGAAATGAGGAATTGAATATGCTCTGATATTCTCTGATAAAATGGTTGGAAGACGAAGAAAGAGAGTGAAATATGGAGGGAAATGAATTAAAGAGGGAGACAGGAGTTAGGTGTGTAAAATTTAATTACACGTTGGATGGTTAAGGGGAAGCAACGCACAACCTGGAAAAAACATAACACACGACAGCAATATTACCTCCTAAATCCGGTTACCATTTTTTTTGTACCATTTTTGGAAGACACCCCCCAAAGTTGGTGTTATTTTGGGATAACTCAAAGGTGGTGTTATTATTGGCGAACCGGCCAAAGTTCGTGTTATTTTGGGCAAATTTTCCTTTCTAATAATTACTTTTGATGTTTTATAAAGAGGGTTTAATCACCCATTAAAAAAGGAGATTATTAGGGGTTTTTAAATAATTTTAAGATTTTTATTAACTTTAAACTTGCTGTAATTTCATGTATAAGAGTGTATTTTAAGGTTTTTATGAAGAAAGTTTAAAGAACTATATATAAACCTTTAATTTTAACTAAAGAGAAGGTTTTAAAGTGTTGTTTAATTGGATTTTGAAGGTTTTTAAGTAAGTTAGTATTGCTGTAAATTTGATTGATTGGGTATTGATTGAGATGTTATTGTTTGGTTTAGGAGAGGAGTTTATTGAAGGTGATTTCTAGATAGTTGGCATACCAATTCGTTTATTTAAGGTACGTATGAGTTACAAAACCTTGCCTTTATATGCATGTTTAGGGATGTATCCAGAACTTAGTATCATGTATAGGGATGACTAGGCTAAATTGTTTGGTTATACATTGTGTTTTCCGTATGATGTGCACTATTCTATATTGAAAATATTGTTTATGCTCTAATTATGCAAGGTGCGCTTAGAGGCAAAGGTATATGATTGGTGTAATGATTTATTTATTACTCATTCGTGATTATTGAAATAGAATGAGTAAAGGAAAATTCAAGTCTTATAAGACGAGGTTAAGGTTTTGGGGTGCCTTATGCACTCAAGGTGTTTATACACCGAGGTAGTTAAAGGAACAAATAATAAGTGTTGCTTGTCACTAATAAATCAAGAATTAAAATTGGAAACTTGTTTTACTTGATTGAATTGATATTGGATTGATTTTATTGTTTGCATATAAGTCATCACCAAGTCTAAACTTGTAAATCATGTAAAGTTCAAGATGGATGAGCAATAAAATTCTGGATTGGTGCACATCTGGAGTAATGACAATCAGGGGTTTGGGTACACGGGGCATTAGTCGTGCATTTTTCTCGAGGCCGTCTGATCTACGAGTCTCTTATTTCAAATACTTTTTGAAAATAGGAGTTAGATGAGATCTCATACTAACTACGGTCACGCAGTCACGCCCGTGGTCGTTGGATGTTTATTGATGTTTCCGAAAGGAGTCATAGGGTTTTTCTTTTATTGATGTTCCAAATGGAGCATGGGTTGGACAACCTTGTCTATTGCTTAATCCAATAAATAAAATAATGATATACCTATTATTAATTAATGGAGTCTTAATAAAATTGATAGTTGAGTCATGTGTCGAGTCTATAAACTAATGATGCGTGATGATTGACTATTAGTAGCATGTTAGGGATTTATTTTATGTTTTGCAGCTTGTATGTACTCAGCTTTGCTGATTGCGTGCTTTATGTGTCTTTCTTTGGTCATGACCTTCTCCTTTCAATGACCCTGTGACGATCCAATTTTTACACTTATAATATTGGGGAGCAGATTAACCACAGGTTCTTACACATGCAGCATTCGCATCAGGGATGTGGGATTTTGAGTGGAGACTTGGTTATTATTCACAGTTTGAACACGTGGCGGTAGCATGCCAGTAATTCTCTTGGATTTTGTTCAGGGTATTTACAGGTTTTAAGAGAGAATTATTAGGGTGTTACAAATTATAATTCAAGTGATCGCCAATAATCGATTTATTTGTGCATTAATATTCAACCAACATAGATAAACAGGTTTAGGGTAAACCTAATGATTGCATATTAGTTAGAAAGCGCACATGAATACGAGAAGAATAAAGTAGAGGCCTATTATTAGGGCAGGTTCAATCTCTTTTAGGTTGGATTTGTACCTTCATCTCCGAACATCCAGTCATGGTTCCAGACCTATTGGAGTTAGCAATCTCCTGGATTGTTAAGGGGTGTAACCTTCACCCCTTGAACGGTTTACAAGTTCCTAAAGCTTGTTGGCGATTCTTTTGCTCTAGCTTCCTTCCCTTTGGACGCCACCGTAATTTAGTGTATGATCACAATGGGGTTCAAGTTTGGGGTAATGCTTGAAATATTCCCTACAGTAGTGTGCTTATTGTTTGCACAATTTGGTTGGGTTTTGAGAAGTTATTTTGTTCTTTATCATAGTTTATTTTTGATGAGTTTGAAAGTTTAATTTTCTTGAAAAATAAAGTATGATGATATGGAGTAAAAAATGGAAGTTCAAGAAGAAAAAAAAAGTGTAAAAATAAAAAGAGTGAACTTCAAAAGAAAAAAAAAAATTGTTTAATGTTCAAGTGTTCTAAGTGAAGGTTGATCAAAAGAAAGAAAGAAAGAAAAATTGAGTTTCAATGAAAATTTCAAATTTGAAGCGTTAAAGTTTGTTTATTCACTCAAGTTCTATATTATTATATTTTTGGGAGTGATATTGTAAGTGTTGGGATTGTCTGATATATTTGGAGTTATATTTGGTGAACTTTTGTTGGAGTTGAGTATGTTGGAGATGTTTGGTCATTATTTATTTTTTACCTTGGTTTTATTACGATTTGGCTCTCTTTAAGCATGGCTTTTCTCTCAAATTTTCCCAAATATTTCCTATCCTTTTACCCTGGCCTTACATTACAAGCTTTAAAGACCTTCTGACCTTGTGCATAGAGTCGTGCAAATGTGAAAGTGTTGCCTATCAATGCAAGGAATGACTTGACATATTTCGAGTCAACTATTAGGTTGAGTGTATGTCTTTTAAACACACGAGTGTTGTGAGTTTGGGAGGGCATTGTTCACATTAAAGGGGTTAGGATGGAGAGCAAACGAGTACATCTTTTACTCGCCACATAAATGAAAGTCGAGTGTGTGAGCACTAGTCTTGAATTCTATATGCTCTTGTGGTTTGCTCTATTTGACAATTGTTATGGAGGATGAGTGATTGAATGAATGAGATTGGTTGACGTTGAAGCATGTTTATTAGATTTGCCTTGAATTGTTTGTTCTTGATTTTGACTATTTGGGGTGAGGCATGTATTTATTTATTCATTGATGAGATCTTTGCTTAGGGACAAGCAAAGGTTTGACTTGGGGGAGTTTGATATGTCTATTTTATATAATATTTTGCCTCCGTCCCTTGGTCATAATTCTAAGTGTTTTTGGCTCTTTAGAGCCACTTTTAATACTAATTGGTGTTTTCTAGTGTTTTCGTAGTTTTGGTTGAGTTTTGCAGGGATTAACACCTTTGAAGCATTTTCCCGGGATTTTTATGGAGCAACTACGAGCATTGGAGGAGCACGACCAGTTTTCGTAGCCCAGGGCCGGTTAAAGTCATCGAACCTGTGATTAAGGGCTTAGTGCATGTGATACCGAGACATTTGGACCGACTATTCAAGACCCAAAGAGGAAATCCGGATTGGGCTGAATAATCGGAGCCTAATTGAGAAGTCCAAGTTGCAAAAGAGTGTGGCCCGGCCAAAATAGGCTTCGCGTAAAGGCGCGCCCGGCCGGGCGGGGCGAAACATCTTTCGCCCTGTCTCGCGCCCAGCTGGGTGCGAGAGACGCCCATGATAGAAAAAAGGCGGGCCCGGTCGAGCGGTGTGGCGCCCGACCAGGCGCGGGTTTTTGAGGAGCTGACTTTGGCGATTTTTGTTTGTTTTAATTAGGATTAATTAAGTGTTTAATATAAATACGTTTTAGAGTTTTTTTAGTTATA